GGGGGGGGGGGGGGGGGGGGGGGGGGGGGGGGGGGGGGGGGGGGAGGGGGGGGGGGGGGAGCTAGAGCATGGAAACAGAAGGAAGAAAGGGGAGTGACGTGGGCAGGGGAGGGAGGGTGGGGCCTGGGAAGAAGTCTGGGAATAGAAGGTAAGGTGAAGGGTCTGCAGGGAGAACTCTGTCAAGGAGGGCTGAGGCGGACAGGGTAGAGAGGGAGGGGCCGGAAAGTCAAGGGCCAGAGAGTGGACAGAAGCAGGGAAGCCCTTTGGGAGGCAGCTGAAGGCGTAGGGAGGGGGCGGGACCCGTGGAGTCAGAGGGTTGGAGTTTAAGGGATTAGAGGTAGGGGCCGATGATAAGGCGGAGCTTCTGGGACAGAGGGGAGGAGCTCATAAACTCTGGAGAGAAGCAGAAGGCCGCTGAGGGTAAGGGCTGCCGGGTAGAGAAAAGGTTGGGGAGGGGGACACAAAAGAGTCTTCGAAAGGGCCTTGGGGCAGAACCCAGGGTGATGGTATGAAGGGGTGGGTGTAGCGGGCTTGGGCATGGGGACAGAGCAGACATCCTGGATGTCCCAGAGATCCGAAGATAGCGAAAGACACAGAAAACGCATGTAATTCCTCGCCCTCCCTCCTCGAGCCAGGAGTGGCCCTGAGCCTTCAGATAGCTTCTTGACTGACTGGGGTGTGACTGCTGCCACTGTGGGGCTAAGAGATGATGTGAGGAGAGCTTGTGGGCTGCATACAGTAGGCGCTCAATGGGTATTGCTGGAGTCTGGAAGCAGGGTCTAGGCCTCACTGGACAGATTGTCTCATTGTGACAGTCCAGAACCTGGGTACTGGGGGGCAACTCAGGGAGTAAACTTTTGCCAAACTTCCGTGGAGCCCTGGGTTCCTTCCCAGCACCACCAGTTGGTCATAGTGGCACACACCTTTAATCCCAGCATTTCAGAGGAACAGGTAGGCAGATTTCTGAGAATTTAGTTCACTTAGTCTATATACTGAGTTCTAGGCCATCCAGAGCTGCACAGTGAGACATTGACTTTCAAAAAAAAATTGCTGGAAGTAACGGGTTATTAATTGTTTCTGGGTCTCAGGATCAAGTGTTGGTGCAATTGTGTCCTTTTCTCATGGAATGGGTGAGCTTCCTGCAGCTCCCTAGTCTGTCCTCCCTCTTGGCCCTGGGAGGCTGTCTGCCTACAGCAGCCAGCCAAGGACCCCATAGGGATCCATCCCTATCTGTTGTGGGTCCCCCTTGCAAATTCCCTTCTGTCCTCCTCTAGAAAGTTCTGCAAGGGCTTCAGCACCCTGAGAACCCAGATGCCTGTGGTTCCCTAGAGCTCCCAGCTTTGAAATCCCTATGTCAGGCCTCCCTTGCCTCAAGCCTCTGCTCCCTCTGATGGGCATCTGAGCAGGTGTCCTCCCAGGAATGCCCTTCTTCCCAATCGTCTTGACACCCCATACTGGGAGCACATGGACTCCTAGTCTCCTCGTGGCCCCAGGCTGCAGATTCTCCGGATACATTTCCATCTATTTCTGAGTCACAGGCAGGTGTGGGAGCCCCTATCTGAGCCCCAGCCTCCTTGAGCTGGGGAAAATAGGCCCTCTCACTGCGCTCACTTTGAGAGGCATATGTGCAGGCCTGGAGCCACAGAACGTGTGAACACTGGGAACAAAGAAAATACCGTCTGCTGTGTTCAAAGTGACTTTTTCCTTATTACCAGTGACACTATTTTTTAAGTATCTGCGCTTGGGGCAGCAGGCTGGAAGTTCCTCCTGGCCCATCAGGCACTAGCTGGCTGCAGAGGGGGTGGGGCACAGTGGCTAAGGGCCCAGGCAGGCTTTGTGCTATGTGTGGGCACAAGAAAGAATTCGAGAGTTGAGAGTTCTCCTAAAACCAGGCGTGGTGGGTGCCTGTCTTCCCAGAAGGAAGGTAGAGAGGGGAGGGATTCAAGCTTTTTCTGAGCTACAATGTGAGTTCAGAGTTAGCCTGGGCAAACAGAGATGAACCATCAGTAGGCAGAGGCAGGGGAATCTCTGTTTGTTCAAGATCAACCTTATCTACACTGCCAGTTCCAGGTCTGCAGAGACCCCCTCTCAAAAATATTCCTCACCTATATTGGTCTCTCAGCTGGGGCTAAAACAGGGCTGCCCCGGAGCAAGCGGGGGTGTGGCTTCCTCCCTGTGGCAGGCTCTTCTTTTTCACCTGGACAATGGACTGAGGCGGGGTGAGGAGCTGTAGGACCCAGGCAGCAGCCACAGCCCTCTGTCCCCTGAGTGACAGGTAAGGGCTGCAGGACGAGCTCAACCAGGCTCAGATCTTTCCAGAAAACAGGTCTCCTGACCACAGACTTGCTCTGTAGATCAGCTGGCCTCGAACTCACGGAGATCCAGTGGCCTCTGCCTACTGAGTGCTGGGATTAAAGGAGTGCGCCACCACCACCCTTTTTTTTTCTTTATTTTTGGTTTTGTTTTTTTCATAATTAATTTTTTTTTTTTTTTTTTTTTTTTTTTTTTTTTTTTTTTTTTTTTTTTTTTTNTTCTCTGTGGCTTTGGAGCCTGTCCTGGAACTAGCTCTGTAGACCAGGCTGGTCTCGAACTCACAGAGATCCGCCTGCCTCTGCCTCCCGAGTGCTGGGATTAAAGGCGTGCGCCACCATCACCCGGCTCATAATTAAATTTTTAAATAATAATTTGTTAGCTGGGTGGTGGCAGTGCACACCTTTAATCCCAGCACTCAGGAGGCAGAAGCAGGCGGATCTCTGTGAGTTCGAGGCCAGCCTAGTCTAAATAGTTCTAGAATAGAACTACATAGTGAGATTCTAACTCAAAAAAAGAGGGGGGCTTCCAACGTGGTGTGAGCTCACAAACTCTCTTCGTCGGCCAGCCCCACACCTCTAGCCATACTCACTGGGGCCCCATTTCAAACCTTGTCTCTCCCCGAAAGTCGCTCACAAGCCTACCTCCAGCACCCCATTTCCAAGGAGCCCTTTCTCATCGGCCTCTGTCCAGTTCTTGTCTCCGACAGTCTGAGTGTGCCGCGATAGCACAGGGCGGGGGACATCGGGGCATGGGGAAGGTGGAGCGTGATTTTGCAGACGTGGGCTTCTCTCCCGGGAAAATTTTGATTTGGTGAGATGATCCCAGAAGCCGTGGAGCTCAGGCAGCTCACGCTCTGACACAAGGGGCCAAGGAAGCAGAGGGACCGCCCGACTGTGCAGCGGAGCAGAGGGGATGGTACAGGAGCTGGATGGCAGTGTGTACCCACAGATCTAATTACCCTCATTTACCACGTGCGCTAATTGCCTCCTGGGTGCCAGGTGGCCGGGTGGGGCCGGCCCATTTTCAGGAGGTAGGTCGCAGGATTATTTTTGGCTAATACGTCCTTGTAGGCTCCCATATCCACGCCTATGAAGGGCAGAAAGTGGGCCGGAGGAATTGCGGCCACACTAGGAGGGCCTCTGGGGATGTATCCGAGCAGGGATGGGAGGAGGGGACCCAAGCATCTTTGGCACCTAGGCAAGACAGCCCCAGAGTCTGGGGATCAGCCAGCTTCATTGAGCAGTGGTCCTGGAAGAGAACTTCAAAACCTGGCTTTGTTTGCAATCCTTATCCTAGCACTCAGGAGGCTGAGGCAGGGGGGTTGCTATGAATTCAGGGCCAGTCTGAGGTATAGAGACCGACCCTGTCTCTTTTTTTTTTTTTTTTTGGTTTTTCGAGACAGGGTTTCTCTGTGGTTTTGGAGCCTGTCCTGGAACTAGCTCTTGTAGACCAGGCTGGTCTCGAACTCACAGAGATCCGCCTGCCTCTGCCTCCTGAGTGCTGGGATTAAAGGCATGCGCCACCACCGCCCGGCGACCCTGTCTCAAGAAATTAAATAGCCGGGGGTTGGTCACTCCTTTAATTTCAGCAAAGGCAGAGGCAAAGGCAGGCGGGTCTCTGTGAATTCTAGACCAATCTGTCTGGACGCCAGAGCAAGTTCCAGGACAGGCTCCAAGGCAACTCACTGTGTAGAGCACTTTGGAAAAGAAGGAGTCTCGGATGGCCTTGGGTTCAAATTCTGGGTCTGCATGGTCATCCATGATTTCTAAAATTGTCACTTTGAGAGGTGGACTCGGAGCAGAGCACGTGCAAAGGCCCTGATGTAGGGACGGACTGGTTTTACTAGAACAGCTTAGAAGCTGAGGTGGACAGAGAACCATGGGCTGGGGCTGAACCCTGATGCTAAGTTGCAGGAGCTGAGCATGGCCTTGAGGGACACATGGAGCAGGGGTGTGTGTGGGTTTATCCTGAAGGTGCTGGGGAGCTATAGAAGACTTTGGAGCCAGAGAAGGAGAGGGATTTCTCTGGATGCTGAGAATGAGAACAGACCTTGCCTTTCCCAGAGCCTCAGTTTCCCTGCTCTGGGCAGAATCCCCCAGATACACAACACAGAGGCTGCACCTCCCTGGAAACCAGGACCGCTGGCCTTGCCTTCGCTCTAGCCTGCCCCCACCTCCCACGATCCTTCTGCAGAGCAGCTGTGGGAACACAAGCGGGGAAGGCGGCTCCGAGGGGCTCTGGGGGCCGCGTTCCTTTGCGTGACAGCCTACGCAGGCCCTGTGGCGCTGAATGTTCCCCTGGCAGCCTGATGACTCCGTTATGCAGCCTCCTGCCACAGTCTGCAGAGGGGGGCCAGCCCAGCTCCTAGCTGCCCCCAAGCAGGGCTGGTGACCACAGCCTGCAGGGCCTTCCCCAGACAGACCAGCCCTCCAAGGGGACCCACCCTTTTTCCAGTTCTCCTGCTTGAGAACTTTCCAAGGCCTCCCAAGGCCTCCAAGAGGTGACCAAGCTATTTGACTGTAGTCCAAGCAAGGCTAGAAGGCCACCCTAAGCCTTGTCCCCCATGGAGGG